GCAGCAGAATGATGATTAGAATGTTGAGACCAGATTCAAGCAGAAGATAGCACATTTTCGTGGATTGAATTTACAAGACTTTTGGGCATGACATACTTCGCGGTTGCCCACGCCGATGAAGGAGTTTTTCTTTGAGGAACCCTAACCGGAGCCTTCGACTCAAGAGTCTAACCCACAGGGCAGTGGGGCGTAAATCCAACGCGGGAGCGTGANTGGAAGCTTCAAAAGACAAGTCACGCAAGGCCTTCGGTTTTCGGTTCAGTGTGTTGTTCGCTGGTGCGCTGATTACCAGTCCGCTTTTCGGGATCGGCCCCTAGCCTTATGCATCCAATAAGACAAGCGGAACGTGGACGGGACAATACCTTATTGGCTGGGGGTTGTCCGTCTTGGGCGAGCGGTAGCTGTCCAATGAAGTGCGAAGACTTCTCCCACCGTCGAGAGGAAGCCCTAGGTATCCCACTCATACGTCCATCTAGCGGGATTTTTTTGACCGGTAAACTGCCCCTCATCGTGTTCATTTGCTGGAGTGGCCTCTCCATGGGCGTGTGTATAGAAAAGGAAGTCAGGAGGTGCCCAAGCAGCTGGCCTTGAGACTGGTTTTCGTCTGGCCTCTACCCAAGGACTTTTCAGGCATGAGAAGCTATCCTGTGTAGCTCGCCGGGTCTATGCGGCACGCAAGCCATCACGCTACGTCAAAGTGCAATCTCGTCGTGATTTATCTGGTTAGTACAGACCGAAACCGGATAACTAACAAGGATGAGGAGGTAGGGAAAAGGGGAGAGGCATAATCCACTCGGACACTTACCAGCCAGATTGGGAATTTCCAAAAGCATGGCAGACACATGATACACACATTCCAACAACTCCGTGTTGATATACATGTGATAGGGGACTTGCAAGGCTTGTTCCCGTTTCTCCTCTTCCGGGCTTCGTTCGTACCGCGTTGGACCGTGCAAACCCTGCGCCAGCAGTTCCCGAATCCGACCGGAACCAACCAAATCAGCCAGAGCGTTCAGCGTTTCCCGGATATGACCTTGACGGAATGCAGCCAATCCGAGTTGGACGATTGCCCGATTGTACAGGATCTGTAGGAACATCGGGGCAAAGGGGAGAGAGAATGGACGCAGACCAGAGTTTAGCCGGTTCAAATGACAAGTGCTTATGGAATTGGAAACAGTGAGGAGGACAACTGATAAGTAAAATACTTTTACAGGTTACAGAGATATATATATATTTCGAGGTAGAATGGAAGCGTACACTGAGTTTTAAAATGTTTATTGTAACGTTTCGATCCAAACTATGATTCGTTGTCAAACACAAATGAAATAAATGAGATAATGGGATTACCGTCCTTCCGTGCGCCTGGGTGCTGTTTGCGTCTATCAGTCCACCAATCGTGATGGGTTTTGCAACTGTGACGTAATGTTTGTCTATCTCGACGTGTCGGTTGAACGAATTGACCGAGTGTAGAGCTTCGAGGATTAATTGTTCCCCCTTCTTCTTTGCTTGCGCCACCACTGCGTTATCGATCGCGATCTCGTGACCTGTCCATGCACAGTGGTTACAGATTTGTGTCCTCGGATCAGCACGTCGGAGGGCAAGCCTGTGTTCGAGTAAGCGAGCGCGAGCAGTTGTTCGCCTGGCTCAACTATGCAGTGCTGGTTGCCGCCCGGGTACAGAATTGCGTAGATTACTCCTGATCGTTCGCGCTGTTCGAGTTGATCGAGAGCCATCACGTGTTGCTAATGGACGGGAATAGGTTTTCTGTACGGAGCTGAACAAGTCGAACGCCGCCATCAGTTTGTTGGTAGAGCAAAGTGAACGCCTAAAATGACTTCTGCTACACTCCACTCAGTGTTTCATTCTGCGCGTTAACGTCCCCTGCCGGCAAAACCATGTCGAATCAACCCAATGCCAACAGCTTAGGTTTCTGTTTCATCTACTGTTTACCAACTTTGCCAGTGTTAGAAAATCGGACCTCTTGGTCCGGATTACCATATAAAGGGGATTTTCTTGTGTAGGACAACCTGAAACTGTTCAATACAACACCCAGTGAAAGTAAAATCAGGGCATGAGTGAGGAGCCACGACTTGGCTTCACCGATTCACACACACACACACACACACACACACACACACACACACACAAGTGTGCGCTGGCAGATAGTTCGGCTGTGGTTTGGTTTGTTACGCGATTCACTTGTTCAGGTCCCAGGGCTTAGATTACCGGTTACCTCGGTGGATTCTCGCGAATGCTCGGCTGTTTCGAACGTGCTGTTACTTTCCCGTAGCCATTTTTTAAATCTGCTCACATGCAACCATGAATAGACTAGGAAACGCGACAAATTTCTTGTGGAATAAACAAATTCTTGCAGTCTCCATTGGATCTGTCGTCATTCCAGGTTTAACAAACGTTTTCTGATGTATCGGCTAACTAATTTATACATTTTCTAATTCCATGATTTAATTATGCCGCTGCCCATAATGGTCAAAGGAACGGTGATGTGTTCCAGTGCTGTTGACACATGATCTATCCGCTGCTCACAGAAGACTGTGAATTGCCAAGAACAGCCGGAGGAAATGTGGACCTTTGTTCCACCGCTGTCGATGGGGAAAATAACGATTTTGACTCAATGGTCCGACTAAGTTTTTGATCAATTGCGTTTTCCAGTGACATTGAATATATAGAGGAAATCTTATTTGGAAGCGATCCGGATCATCGCTTGGATCCGGGATTTTATTATATTTCACACTTGTCTGAGGACAGACTGTGCCAAACAAATCATGGCACAATAATCTTTATGAAAAAGAAAGACGCTCCATGATTGGCTTGTGGGCTGAATATGACCAGGTTGCCCGGGCCAAGGCAGGTGAATTTTCTTGAGGAATTCTCAACCGTAGCCTTTAGCTAACCAAAGCCTGATCCGCAAGGTAGCGGGGAGTGATGTGTGAAAACCGCAGTCCCTTAGGAGCCGGTTTCCAGTTGATCGTATCTTACGCCCTTTGGACGGGATCAAACGTCCAACGTGCCCAGTAGAGCCGGTGACCGCAACCTGGAAGGTGCGTGTGGTTCGTACGTCTCCTCATAGTTGGTTTGGAATCAAGGGTTTTTTGGACAACTCCCCTAGGTGAACTACCAGTGGTCCACCAATTCGGATATTGGCTTTCTGTCCTTTCACTTTGGTGATGAGAAAACACCGCGTCATGAGAAGGCAGTGAATGGGACTTCCTCAGCAGAGGCAATTCGAGACGCTTGGTCGTATGGGAGCATTTCGCGAGATACAAGGGAAGAGTGACCAGCCGTAACCCTAGACACCCACCCCCGACCATACTGAGGCTTTTACGCGAACTGCGGTGTGAGGAACGGACAAGGCAACAGAGGGGCATGATAGCTTGCAAGCAGCACTACTACTTACCATAGTTGACTGATCCGCTTGTTCAATCGACGACTGTAAATTGGACATGAGCATCAGATCCCGCGCTTTGTACCAATTGTCGTACAGAGCCAGATGGTAGATATGACAGAGAATGGCCCGAGTGCGCAGTCGATTTGTACGATCATGAGAATAGATGTATTTACACAGACGCTCGATCATGGGTGTCGCCTCGTTTTCGCCCACGGTTTCCAAACCTTCATTCTCCACACGTCGGGCCCATTCATAATCGAACTGGCAAAAAGATGAGATAAAAAGCCAATTACGGTCAAAAATGAGTGAGGACAAAGAGAATCTCCAACAGATACACTAACTTAATCGTTTCTCCTGTAGTAAGCTCGTCCAAAAAAGTTTAAATTGACACTCCAGGTTGGAGAGAGTACGGGTTAGCTGACGGAATAGAGATGACATGACCACCGTATCGGTTATTAGGTTAGAAAATATATTTGATACGAATAAATTCAGCCGCTAGTGGTCTGTCATTTGGTCGTGTTTTTGTTTCAAATCATACACACACATTTATTGCAGTCCACCAATCATATTCATTAGATCGAACTATTACATAACTTTCGATGCTTTTCACCATGTTCTAGTTCAATGATACTATGTTTTGCGCCGTCCAAATGCAAAGAGCTTGCACAATGGTGGGCAGAAGCCTGTACCTGCACTCACCCTCTGTGGTAATCAGATGGAAGTGGTTGAGGGCTTTAAAGATCTTGGGAGCTTGATTGCAGCTGGTGGTAGCCTTAGGGAGATCCCATCACGAATTGTTAAAGCTAAAGAAGCCTTGTTAACCTGCGACATCTGTGGTGCCGCCATAATATCTAGTTGTCCCTTAAGGAAAGGTGAACATCGTAGTGTTCTGTTTAACGGCTGCCAGATCTGACCCTTCCGCGTTGATGATGTTACTCGACNGGTTGGAACATCGAGTGAGTAATGACGAGGTTCATCGTTGTGTGGATAGTCGTTCTCTCACAGGAGCAATCGCGCTACACCGCCTACAAGGGTTTGGTTAAGTTTTGCGTATACCTATTCGTCGACTACCTTTCCATGCTCCTTTTTCACGTGCCGGGCAAAGGCTGGAAGAAGCGCCGCAGCCGTAGTCAGACCATGACATGGTGTAGTGGTATGAAGAAGCTAGTTTCAGATTTGGCTTCGGTTGGTGCAGTCCGCCTTGTTGTGACCTCACGGGATGAGGATTACCATTGGTTAGAGACGCCGAGAGATGTGGCTCCGAATAGAAATCAGTGGCGCGAATACTGTCTGGTCTGCCTGTTGAAACTTTGTGCATCATAAAAACAATAAACTCATACCGCACGTTCCGTTATTCTAGTTCTTACGCTGGCACCAAACTTGCCCGGAGACCGGTAATAGATGTGTCACTGTACTCCGAAATCTCGAACACATCTCCTGGGGACTTACAAGCCACATTTCGTTCAACCGTTCTAAAACCTCTCTTCTTTCGATTCTTTCAAAACACCATTCATTCTCCCCTCATTTATCTTTCGATTCCACCCAACTACTTTCCACAGGCTCTGTTTCCCTTCTCGGATTATCTATAACTTCTTTATGCTGGTTCCCTTTTACAGCTAGACTTGCTTTTCATGCAACGCGCGAGGCGGAATTTCGGTTTCGCGTCAGACGTTTTTTTTCATCCCAGCTCATCTTCTTCGATTGCACAAAAGGTCAAATCCACCCTGCTCTTGAATACTGTATTCACGTCTGCGATGGGGATTCGTCTTCTTCCCTTTCCCTTGTTGATCGTGTTCAACAAAAGGTTATCTGACGAATTGATGATCCTTCCCTAACATCCAGTCCGTAGTCACCAGCCCATCGTCGGACAGTTGCTTCATTGTCCCTGTTCTACCGTTACCCAGTGTGGCTTTTGTTCTTCGGAACTTGCCTAGGCAGGTCCTCTTCCAGCAAATTTTACCCACTCATCCCGTACACGGGTATCTAGTCATCTTTATCAGGTTTTTTCCCCCAACTACCAAACTGCGGAACATCCTCCCACTTGCTGCTTTTCCCCCGGTTTACAATCTTGCACTTTTTAAACGTAGAGTCAATAAACTGGATCTGACGTGAATGCTCCCATACTCTTCCCTTTACAGTGTGCTATTTATCCATGGGGATTTCCCCGTTTACTGTAATACGCATTGTGTAATAATAACATATATATATATATGCATATATATAAGACACTTCCTGGGTACAAGTATATGAATGAACTGGCAAAAGATTACCGGATACGCATGCCTGACGAGCGCCAAGAACCGCGAAACCGGTCGTGTGCTTCCAGGGAAATTTTGTCCAGTCACTCACATACAACTTATTATCATGCCTATAGTCTTGTTAGCTTGTTCGCTAATCTAAGTACAATGAAGGTAACCAGTGATAGACCAGACTTTAAAAATGGGCGGAAAAAAATCACAGATATGCCGAGCACAAACGGTTGATTATGTGCGTGTGAATGACAGAACCGGAGAACAGAAAATTCCAAATTCACGAGCGGTGGAGTGAATTTTTTTCTCAACCATACAGCACAACACTTACTTTGTAGTAAATATGTTCTACTTTTAACAAATAGGCCGCGCATAAGTCGTTCGGTGACGCTTCTTTCTTTTCCAGATAATTACACAACCGATCCAGAACACCACAAACACGACGTTCATCACGTAGCCTGAAGAAGGGAACAGAACGATTGAAGGCAGAAAGGCATTTGCAGATTGGTGTCGGGGCAGAATGATTTTCTCGGAATTTGAAAAACGCTGTGAACAAGTTGGGTTGTGTGTTAGATACAAATACTACACTACACTACCCAGTGGTCCAAGTTTAATCAGATGTGTGGGGGGGGGAGAAAATCATTGCGAGGCGATTTCTGCACACCTCTGGCACACAAATAGCCTTTCCGCATCATATAGGCTTCGACTAAACAAAAAAATAATCTCTAAAAACTTCAGTATGGTCGG